GGGGCCTAATAACTTGAGCTTTTAAATCAAAAATCCGTTGGTGCCGTGTTTGTCAAGTTTGAGTTTACAGTTGAGAAGTCAACTAGTCAACTATAGTCTATAGTACCTATATACAACCCACTTGTGTTCGAATATTGCTTGGAAATTACGTAGCAAGTTTTGATAAGTCACATCATTGACTGAGAAAGTGTACAGGTCACGTTTGTTTATCATCTTCACATTTTCTCAATAATTTCATTTTAAAATTCTATCTATTATTCCTAACTTTTTATCGTACTATCGATTCGAGCATACTGTGTCTAGAACTGAAAATAAGGAAAAAATAAAATAAAATAAAATTCTAGAATTCAAATATAAATAAATAAATTTTTACTTTATACCTCTTTTATTCTTACAAAATCTTAGATAAAATAGAACGCTTTCACTTTTTTTTTTATTTTTTTGGTCAATTTGAATTTTTACTCCTCTCCTTTTAAACACTGTACACAACTTTTTCCTTAAATATTCATATTTGAATCACTTATGAATTTATCATTCCTCCCTAATATCTAGAGTTTGTTAAATTTATCAAATTCAACGTCCTCCACTGCTCGATACATCAGCGACATCGACGAGCACAAATATTTAACTACCAAACCACCTCTCTTCTCCTCTCTCAAACCTCAATCCACTATTAGTGTCATTATTTGAAAAAAAAAAAATAATGAAAAATGTATGACTCCATTACTAATATAACACCTAAAATTTTCCCACAATGAATAATTATTTCTGTACTAAGATGTATTAAAAAAGACTAGGGCAGTCAATTAATAAGAGTGTGCATACAAAGCACGCATCATGATTCTTTGACCTTGATTATTTTAATAAAATAAGTTAATCACATAAACTGCCTATCTATTTCTTCCAACAAAATTCAATAATCGTGATGGGGATTGTGTAATGAATAATGCTATCCATCATCTCTCTGTGAGTATCTGATTCAAAGGGGGCCACTGTCCCTTAGTCGGGTGGCAATAACTATCGACACCGATGATAAATATCACTACTTTCTGTAGAATATAAAACTTTTTAGGGACTCGATAGTGGGCTCTATATATTTGATTCTTCGAGCCCTGCCATGGTAACAAATACCAAAGAAACAGGAAGATCAATGCTAACATATGCAGATGAATAGAGAAAACAGTCAGAAAAGCTCACACTTGAGAATACTAAAAGTCAACTTGTAAATACAGTTTTAAATAACCCAAAATTTGACTCATGTATGGAGCAAATAATGCAAGATTATAACATTAATGATCCACCATCTAAAAAATGTAATAGTTTAAGTTCAGAGACATTTAATGGTAAAAAGCAGGGACCCTTTCTTTTTTTACCAAACTCAGCTTCAGTCCTCATCAGAATAATTGAACTTTATTGAGTGGGATTGCAGGTCAATCTGGCCGCCTCTATAGCTACCACGCTTCTTCTTGGTCTTTTCATGTCGGAAATCCCTGTAAGATAAAGAGGCATAAAGGTGAATCGTCTTCGGTTTTGGGTAATAGGACCAGAACAAAACCACAATTGTAGCAAGCTCACTGTGGAAGATGAATGGACACTAATGGTAAAAGGAGAACTACCTACCCACCATCCTTGCAGGAGAAATATTTTCACTTTAGATTCCCTCGATCACAATAAAGTGAGAACAAAGATTTGACAGTACAAAGCTACGAATATGACATTATTTTTCTGAGGACATGTAAAACAGTAAAAGCAAGCCTATAGAAGAACATGATTTAACATTTTCGGAATCTGTTGTAAAATTATAAATCTATGCACATGCTTAGACCATGACATTCAAATCATCCTCACGTGGGATCACCGGCCAATATTCTTCTTTTAAAAAGGCTATAGATTCTACATGGAGAAAGGCGGTGGCACTAAGTTTTCCCTTCTTTCTTTTTTCTTTCCCTCTTCTTTTCTTCTTTTTCTTTCCCTCTCGGTATTGGTAGTTTAGGGTTTTTGTTTGTATAAAATGAAAATTGATTCCATATAGTATTGCTTAGTACTCCACTAATTTCAAATTGCAATAAAGACCATTGTTTTCTATTTTATATAATGTTTATTAATTAACTTCCCATAATTAAAAACTAAACCCCAAAAATTCAATTTTATTCGTTTTAACATCTCGTTTAATACTCAATTCCTTCTACATAAATAATTGATTTTGGTCTATTCAAAATGACATCTTAGGTTAGTAAAAAAAAATTGCAGTGTAACCATATACCCGCATCTGAAATTTGAACTCTTTTTAACTATATTCCCGTATCCTTCATTTTAGAATATAAAAGATCTAATACTTAAATACGTATTCATACCCAAGTCCGAGCATCATTGCTTGGGGTTGGGTTAAAATTTTAAAGGAATTAATATACCAATAAAATTCATATATAATTAAAATAATTATATGACATTACATACTAAAGTGTCAAGGCTCAAGCGAAGCATCGTAAGGCTTAGTACCAAGAAATTAGATCAACCAAAATAATTCACATATTTTATATTGATAACAACGTAAAAATAGATGCTAAACAAAATTATATCGCATTAGCAATAAGTTGGCTAGAAACTAGTCAAATTGAGATGTGTAATATCTTTTAATGAAATATTATATCACAATTCTTCTCACTTTTTAATTGAATAATTTCTCTCTTTAAAAACATTGAAAAACTTGGAATCTAAACAATATAGGGCTGCGAATTTGGAAATTGAAATTGAATATGGTCGGTGAGTATGATAGCGATATTAGAAATTGAATATAGGGGCAAAATTGAATATATGGTCGGTGAGTATGCCAGCAGCTGCGAATCGCAGCAGCTGCGAATCTGGAATTACAGCAGCAGCTGCTTCGAATCGTGATTCGCAGCTGCTGCGAATCAGCCAACCGCAGTGCTGCGAAGCAGCTGCTGATTTTTTTGTGGTTTGTGGTTGGTGATTTTTTTGGTTGTGATTTTGCGGTGGAGGCATGGTAGTGGGTGTGTTGACTGATTATTGTTGTTGGATGTTGGTGGTGGTGGTTGGCTGTTGACTGGTGGTGGTGGTTGTGGTTGGCGGGTTGGTGGATCTATTGTTGTTGGCTAGCGGTGATGGTTGTGGTTAGCTGTTGGTGGTGGTGGATCTATTGTTGGCTGTTGGCTGGTGGTTGTGGTGCTGTTAGCTGGAGGTGGTGGTTGTGGTTGGCTGGAGGTGGTGGTTGTGGTTGGGGTTCAGTCCTGTGTTCTGTGGGTGGGTAGTCCGTGTTGGTCGATCTGTGACCTGTGACCAAATATCGGTGGTAGGCTATAGTATGTGACCAAAATTTTGTTAATCTGTGACCAAAAGGTTGTAGTATGTGACCAAATTTTTGTCAATCTGTGACCAAAGTTTTGTTAGTCTGTGACCAATTACTCAAATGTGACCTAAAAATTTAATAATCTGTGACCTCGAAATAATATGTGACCAACTAATTTAAAAATCTGTGACCTCGAAATAATTTGTGACGTACAAATTTTTTGATATGTGACCTCGAAATAATTTGGGATCAAAAAATTTGACGATATGTGACCAGTAAATAAATCTGTAACTTAAAATTATGAATATGTGACCATTAATCACAAAATGTGACTTTTTTATCTTTATTTAATAAATATTTTTAATTAATTAAATAAATACCTGATTTTTGAATTTTTAAACTATTTACCTTATTTTTGAATTGAGGTAAAGAAAACACCTTAAATATGATTTTTTCCCTATGTAAACTCCACCTCGAATTCGCATGAATCGGTTCGAACGTTTTTTTTGCTATCGCTAATTATATATTATGGGTTAAATGTGCAATTAGACATTGGGCTGGGGACTGGGTGAAATAATTTAAATTTGGAATGGACTATAATTAATTGAAGTGGGCTAACTAATAATAATAATAAGAAAATTTTAAGTGGATTTTACAATTGGGCTGAGGCAGGCCTGGGCTAATCCCCTTACATCCACCCCTGAACATGGAAAGACATACCTTCCTTTAACCTGGCCCAAAACTTCCTGTGCTTTTGCCCCGTAACCATTTCCTGCACTATCCTGCAAGAGACATAAAAGAGAAAAATTAAATGTTACAACACAGAATGACATGGTAGAGAATGCTTTATGGAAACATTTGTTGTCTGTGCATAAAATATTCTCTGTCATATGTACACAAATAAATATTCACACACGCAACACAGCATGCCAAAGATAAATGAGGAAAAGAAACAAACCAGTGCCCAATAAGAATTATCTTGAAGCCTCTCATCGACATATTTCACATCATCAACTTTCACCCTTTGAAATGCATTCACTGTTTTTGGCTGCATAAACCATCAAATTAATATCTTTGTAAAAGCCCTTTAAAGGTATTTTTGGGAAACTTAAACAATATGAAGCCATAGCAACAGTATTCAGCATCAGTATTCTATGCAAAAGTGAAAAGAAAATATACACATTTGAACACCGACGGAGAAGAGAAACGAAAGAAAACACATGAACCACAGCCAGAGGTCAACACTTCAAACTCAAAAAGTAGAGAACAAAAACGAAATGACCACCCTTCCAGCCACAAGTAAACAGATGCATATGAAGGCAAGTATAGATTTCAAAGATTTTACTGGAAAAAACACGTTCCCTCTTAACATCAGTAATCTTATATCCCTTGCAAGAATTGTTCAAGTGAGAACTCTAGTCTACTACAGATGATGTGTAAAATATACAATAACGTTATGTTTGGTTCTACTGCACAAGGTTTACAAACCACACCAAAAACATTATGTTCGGTACAAGGGTAAAGGCGGTGGAAACTCCAATTTCATTCCTTTCAGAGTGAAACTTTCATTCCTCTGGTTTGTGTTAACAAATTTTTGAATAATTATTAAATTGATATGCAGGTTAAACTTTGGCAATTGGCCATATACTTGAACTAGAAACTGAATTTTTTTCGGTCACTTTCAGTTCACTCCAACCAAACAAGAAAACTCAATGTTCACTTCCACTTTCTAGTCCCCCTTTCGCTTCCGACCCAACAGGCACTTTTAAATCCATAGAAGAAATCTAGAACCTTTTAATCCATAAAAGGGTATATTAAAACTTGAACAGGCCAAATTTCAAAGGAAAAAGCTAAATGTTTTATACAAGTATTTCAAGACATAATATTATAAAAAGAAGTATTAACCCCTATTTGACAACCATTATTTGAAAACTCCTCTCTTCATACTCATTTTCAACCACACACACGATAAAATATTTTGCACGTAAATCCAAAATTTTTTTTTACTTTTTAACCACACATTCTTCTAAAAATCACTATTCAAACAATTGTTTTTCCCAAATAATTGTAACGACCCGAGTCTCTATACCCAAGCCGTCACCAGGATTCAACTTAAGTATCTCATATGATGGAAGTCTTGAGTTCGAATCCTGGGAGAGGCGTCAAAAATCCGTGAGGGGTAAGATGAACCTAGGCTCTCCCAAAGCGGACAGTACGCAAGCTAACGGCTTGGGTATAGAGACCTGGGTCGTTACAAAAAACACGCATTTTTTTGTAACTACCTGACCTTGCACCGAAATCGTCATCATATCATACATACTGTCCGCTTTGTGAGGGTCTGGACCCATCTTACCCCTCACGGATTACTGACGTGTCCCCCAAGATTCGAACCCAAGACCTCAATCATATGAGAGATTTAAGTTGAATCCTGACAGAAATCCGTAAGGGGAAAGATGGGCCCAGACCCTCCCAAAGCGAACAGTACGTATGATATGAAATTGGTACCAGGATTCAATTTAAGTCTCTCATATGAACCCGACCTTGCGCCGGAGCCGTTATCACAGCCTACGTACCGTCCGCTGTGTGAGAGCTCAGTCCCATCTTACCCCTCACGGCTTTCGACGCGTCTCCCAATCTTAGGTTCGAATCCTGGGAGACGCGTCAGAAAGCCGTGAGGGGTAAGATGGGCCCAGACCCTCCCAAAGCGGACAGTACGTATGATATGATGACGGCTCCGGCGCGAGGTCGGATCATTACAATAATGGTTGTCAAACAAGGGCTTAATAAAATACTAATATGCACATATTACTCAGTTGACTTCTTTAATTCAAAAATTGCAAATCTTGTAAAAGACGAAGCCATTTCACGAACTTCGTTCCAAATGAAAATCAAGTAGTGATTGGTTACAAAAGCATAGTCCCAATGAGCTTTGTCTTTACCATTCACATGTTGGTGAAGTAACATGTCCTCATCTTTTCGTCCATTACGATTTTACTGGAAAAATCATGTTTGAGCTTTAGTTGATTTATTCAATTGAAAGATTTCAGATTGTAGCACTAGAAAAGAAGCAAAAATATTTTGGAGTTGTGATATGATGGCACAAGTGGTTTGCTAAGAATGCCAAAATCTTTCAAAAATTATTGTGGTGATCTGCATTGTTTTGGGTTTAGAGTCATTTTTATCATCTTTATGGGAAAAAGACCCAGGCCCATTTGGTCACTTATCCTCCCCCCGGCAAATTTATAAATCAATATAAAGAGGAATAGTAGTGTGTTTCACGAAATGTGTATATAATAAATAAGTAGTAGTTATGAATGTCTGGTTAAAATTAATGTTTAACTTCAACTAAATTTATAAACCATTTATAAATTGGCAGCCAAATGGAGGATAAATTTATTATTTCATACAACTTTACTTTTCTTCTTCTAGCAATTTTAAGTACCCATGGATTTTCCTTGCCTCTGCTTTTATAACTCCTCCCGATTAATCACCATTTTAGATTGAAGCCTCAGCCAGATTTTCCTTGCCTCTGATTTTATTTTCACTTCAACTTTTTAATTCATTTACAACAAGATCCTCTAACAAAATGACTTCAGCAGCAGACCTGCTTGTGTTATATATATATTTTTTCTTTTCCTTTTAAAAAACATGCACAAGAAAAAGTAAAAATAGAAAAAGGAAAGGGATAAATATATACAGAAACACATACCTCAACCGAACTGTTGTGCTGTCTCTTTCCAGATTTTGGCTGACTGGATTTTTTCAGTTCATTCTTGTGGATATTGCCGTTAGTGCTTTCATCAATTTTCTTAACAGAGAAATTCTGAGGCTCAGCAAGTCCATTACCTCCAGAGATAGTGATTTGCTGCTCAACGACCTTCAATTCTTCTAAGCCTCCAGTCTTTCTGCGCTTTAATTCTTCAACTGCTACTTCTTCAAAAGGGTGGTTCTCATTTTCATAAGGAGCAAATCTTTTTCTTTTCTTGGAAGCCTTGCTATATTCGTCAGCCCTATCTTCTGCAGTCTCAATTGATTTTTGTTTAGGCTTTCCAAGTATCGGGTTTTCACTATCATGCATCTCTGAACCAGATAATTCTGGAGAAGCTGTAGCTTCTTTCTTTCTCTTCTTTTGTTTAGCTTGGAATTTATTCTCCTCTGATGGAATGTCGCCAGCATCTTGTCCAGTTGCCGCCACCCTTGCATCTATTTGCTTTTCATCACCATCCAGTAATTCACATGCAAACTTGCCTTTCTTCTTCTTGACTTTCTGGCTTCTAGAGGATTCGTCAATTAGTAATTCGCAAACTTTTCCATCAGAAGAATTCTTTGGTGCTTCAGATTTCAGTTGACTTTGACAGAGAGTTTTTCCAGAATCAGATTTTGAAATATCATTATATTTGTCTTTTCTCTTACTTTTCTTCTTCTTACTTATAATTTCCTCCAAGGCTGCACAGTTGCTGTTTCCATTTTTATCTGCTGCATCACCTGCCAGTGTTTCTGGGAGAAAACACATCTTAGATAAGAGCGACTAATAACATTTACCTGGTCATTACATCGTACTAAAAGCATGAAGAAAAAATAATTAAAATGAAAGGGGAGACCACATCACCAAAAGCTTACTTTGATCCTTCTGGAGAAATAAATTTTTGTTATGATCATTACTGCACCACCACAGAAGCTCAATAACATGAGAATCAAAACCATAATTAAAAAAATTTAACATATACAACAATTTTTTTGGCTTGCAATAGTTAATTATGTGGAAAAGACATTTCACACCCAAAGTTAGGTGCTTAATGCCATTGCATAAGAATGTACATAAGACGAATGTTGAGATGTCGATTCTAGAATAAAGAATCGAGGGATATTTTCTGTATAAAATTGGCCTTAATAGGAAGATCAACATAGGCAACTGAATTCAAAATCTACAGATAAATTCTTAGGATGAATAAATTGTTTGTGGTTGAACATAAATGGTTATATTCTGAAGAAATGACTTTGTTAAGTAGCTTACCAGAGTTCCAAATACTTGGAGAATACATCCTCTAAATTAAGTGCCCTAAGCTTCCAATCATCATCCTGAACCAAAAACAGCGTTGGTTACAGCACTCTGTCCCGGCGAAAAAACTACAAGAGCATAACACTGAAAAAAGAAAACCAGGTTAAGAACAGACTTCAGACATATACAGATGACGATCAAAACAGCATTTTCACTCCTGCTCATATTTCTCCACACTTTACACAACGGTCTTCATGTTTAAAGCTATTCAACGCCAATTGCCTAAATTGCTACTGATATGCATGTATTATGTATAATTAAGCAAACATATAGCTAAACCAAAGTTGCTTCATCTTTATCAATGTTTTCGGGAACTAGCAGGAAAATTTATGGATATCTAGAAATTTACTCCCGAAAGTCCATTGGCAGTTCCCAGAAAATTTTCAATATTTCCATTCCATTTCTTCTCTTGTTACAGTTACGAACTCAAGAAGGTTATATTACCAGCACTCCAGGGAAAAAGTTCATGGTTTTTCAAGTCATAACAATCAATATAAGTGAACACCGTACAACCACGGATTCAGTATAACATATCTTTATACAGAGTGTATCCAACTTAAACTTTTTCGTTTTCTTATTCATTAGCATTTTATATTCACCCACATGCAAAAAATAAAATAAAAATTTGTATATACCTGAATTTGAGCTTCGGAGATAAAGCGTTTGAGAGCTTTAGAAAAGCCACTATTTTCGATCCAAAGAGCGATGGAATAGGCAAGTAGAGATTTGTTATCAGGCTTTAATTGGGCAGAGTTTTCAGATTGCTTCTTCGCCATTGATGAGTTTCTCTGCTGTTCCTCTGCGAGTAGTACTTGACGCGGCTTGAAGACGATCAGGGGAAGATAGCTAGGGCTTACGTAAGCACTATCTCCCTCTTCCTGCATACAGGTACCGCTTATATTTGGTAGACAGTGAGGGCAATGTTTTTAAGAAGGAATTATTAGGGTTTTGTTTCTGCATTACACTTGTACACCGTGCTTCGGTCCCGGTACCATAGTTTATTGGTTACCAAACCAAGTGTGTCATGTTACGGTCCATTTAATCCAAGTAATTGCCATCACGTGTTCCTGTCAGTAGTCCAAATTGTCATCACGTGTTCCTGTCAGTAGTCCAATGTCATGTTACTTTTTAGTTTTCTTTTGACCAAGTCTTTAGCTTAAGTTGTTATTTTATTTAATGGGATTAGTGGTGTCCAGTTAGTGGGTAAACATGGTTGTAGTGGGTCCATATTTATTTGTTGGTTAGTTATTATTTGAGTTGTATTTAATGTCCTTCTATTTGATCAATGAAGTATCAGAATTCCATTTGACTTTATCGTATTCTGGAGGCACTGGTCCCTTGAAGTACCAGATTCTTTTTACTTATATTTGAGAGTTCCTGACAGTGGTATCAGAGACATGTCGGTTCCATGGCAGAAGGGACCCGATTTTCACAACTCTCTGAAGTTGTTACACATTTGAAAAATGAAAATGCAGAAATGAAGGAGGCCCAGACTCGACAGCAAACTTTGCTGGAAGAGCTTGTCAAGCAGGTTGGCAATCTTGCCAACAACTACACAACCATTTCAAATACCATAGCCACCATACCCGACAAACAGTCCCACCCTCACCATTCCAACCCAAGCAGCAGCCAAAATCTTGAAATGCCCAGTACCCATTTTAACCCAGTTTTTGAACACCAAAGCGGGATCCACAGCAGAACCATGAGACTTGATTTCCCCAAGTTTGATGGGTCTGATCCCAACGGCTGGGTCTTTAGAGCCCAACAATATTTTGACTACCACAAGACACCAGATATGCAAAAAATTCAGCTAGCTTCCTTCCATATGGAAGGTAAGGCCCTTACTTGGTACCAGTGGTTATTGGCTTCCCATCCAATCACCACTTGGCCCGAATTTGTGGAGGCATTACAAGTTCGATTCGCACCCACACCTTTTGATGATCCAGTGGCAGATTTTACAAAGTTAAGGCAAACATCCACTGTGGAGGAGTACCAAACTGATTTTGAGGTATTATCCAACCGTATCCCGGGACTTCTGGAGGAGTTTCGAATTAGTATTTTTCTCAGTGGGCTACGTGATGATATTCGGGTCATGGTCACTATGTTTAGACCAACTCCCCTCCCTACAGCTTTTGGTCTAGCCCGACTATATGAAGAAGAAGTATGGCGCAGGTTCAAAAATCAGAAAAATTCCAACTCCTTTCAGCCATTTCCAATCAACCAGACTCTTCCCAAAAACAACTTCCCTAAACTTCCAGCACCTAACACCACTCGGCTATTGGGACACCCACCACCTCACTACCCCCCTCGACCAAACAAGGACCAGCCCAATAAAGCTAACCTTCCTATACATCGTATTACCTCTGCACAAATGAAGGAAAGAAGGGATCGTGGTCTTTGTTACTACTGTGATGACAAATGGGCTTTGGGACACCGGTGTAGAACTCCCAAGCTATTCCTTTTGGAAGGATTGGAGGCTGAAACTGAGGAGGACATTTTTGAAGATGTCCATGAAGAACCTGCAATAAGAGAAGAGCAAAACATAGATGAGGAAGGAGCATTACTTGGTATATCACTACATGCAATTTCAGGCACTCCCACTCCTCGAACCATGCGACTATTGGGTGTATTAAAACACAAATCTGTGGTTGTTTTAATTGATTCCGGGAGTACTCATAGCTTCATCGACCCTAGCATGGCCAAGAAAACCAATCTATGTGTTAGAAGAAGCAACAACCTTACTGTGATGGTAGCTAATAGGGATCGGTTACCTTGCCTAGGCTGCTGCGACATAGTTCCATTTTATCTTCAAGGTAACTACCTTTCTGCAGATTTATATTTGCTGCCTTTAGTGGGATGTGATATGGTTCTTGGAGTGGATTGGCTTTCCCACCTAGGTCCCATTCTTTGGGATTTCTCCCGACTTACAATGAAATTTACTTGGTGCGGAAAAAGGATGCAGGTTCAAGGGCTTAACCCTTCAGATTTAACTATGGAAGATGCAGAAAATTTTTATATGCAGACAAAGGGGACCTACAAAGGATTAGTGCTACAATTAATGGAAGTTTCAAATAAGGATTCATCAGCTACCATTCCTGAGAAGATTCAGCCACTATTAAAGCAATTTCACTCAGTTTTTCAAGAGCCAAAAGGGCTCCCTCCACGCCGAAGTCATGATCACAAGATTCCTCTCATAGATGGCACTAAACCAATCAGCATTCGGCCCTATCGCTATCCATACTATCAAAAGGAAGAAATTGAAAGGATAGTTGATGAGCTGCTGAAAAATGGAGTCATACGACCTAGCCAAAGCCCTTATTCTTCCCCCGTACTATTGGTGCGCAAAGCAGACGGCAGTTGGCGAATGTGTGTTGACTATCGGGCTCTCAATCAAGCCACCATTAAAGATAAGTATCCTATTCCTATCATTGATGAACTCCTAGATGAATTGGGAGGGGCCTCAATATTTTCTAAGCTTGATTTACGATCGGGGTTCCATCAAATTCGTGTATAGCCTCATGATATCCCAAAAACAGCCTTCCAAACCCACCAAGGCCACTATGAATTTTTAGTAATGCCTTTTGGCCTTACTAATGCCCCATCCACCTTCCAAGGGCTTATGAATGATATTTTTCGCCCATATTTACGAAAATTCGTTCTTGTATTTTTTGATGATATTTTAATCTTTAGTAAGTGTTGGGATGACCATATTTTACATCTGGAAACTGTACTGAAGCTACTCCAACAGCACCAATTGTATGCAAAGACGTCAAAATGCAAGTTTGGATGTTCGGAAATAGAGTACTTGGGACACATCAACTCCTCAAGTGGGGTCAAAGCAGATCCCAAGAAGATCTCTAGTATGTTGCAGTGGCCTTTACCTACTTCACTTAAGGCTCTAAGAGGTTTTTTGGGCCTTACGGGTTACTATCGCAAATTCATTAAAAATTACGGGAGCATAGCAGCCCCCCTTACTGCACTACTTCGAAAGGATGCTTTTCAATTGAGTTCAAAGGCCACAGATGCCTTCCACCAACTCAAAAAGGTTATGACTACTTCCCCTGTTTTGGGACTCCCAAATTTCTCAAAAACGTTCATTATTGAATGTGATGCGTCAGGAGCTGGCATTGGCGCAGTGCTAATGCAAGAAGGAAGGCCTTTGGCCTATCTAAGTCAGGGACTCAAGGGAAAGAATCTACATTTATCTACCTATGAAAAGGAGCTCCTTGCTCTTGTTATGGCAGTAAAAAAATGGAGGGCTTATTTATTGGGGCAGAAGTTTAAGATTCGCACAGACCAACAGGCCCTTAAATATTTGGTTGAGCAACGAATTGGTACACCAACGCAGCAGAAATGGATCTCCAAGCTAATAGGCTATGAGTTTACAGTAGAATACAACGCTGGGCGTGAGAACAAAGCTGCAGATGCCTTGTCCAGGATGGGGAATGTGGAGCAGACAATTAATGCAGTAACTCTCACAAAGTTGGAAACACCTTGGATTGACAGAGTAAAGAAGGCTTACCCAGCAGATGAGCTCCTTCAAGGACTTCTTAGGCAGCTCCAGGATGGCACCCTCTCGGATCACAAGTTCCAACTATGGCAAGGCATAGTACTCTACAAAGGCAGAATCCATCTAGGCACTAGTCGAGAGCTTCAACAGTTGGCCCTACAAGAGATGCACAATCATCCGTTAGCAGGACATTCAGGTTATCACAAAACCTTAGCTCGGGTCAGAAAGAATTTTTACTGGCCTGGATTAAAGGTTGCAGTCAAGCATCATGTACGAGAATGTGAGATCTGCCAGCAAAGCAAAAGTGAACACAGCCACCCAGCAGGACTACTCCAGCCTCTACCCATCCCCGAAAGACCATGGACTGACATTAGCATGGATTTCATTGAAGGATTGCCTCAATCCCATAACAAAAATGTCATCATGGTGGTGGTCGACCGTTTGACTAAGTACGCTCACTTTATTGCACTCAGCCATCCCTACACGGCCACTACTATTGCTGGACTATTTCTCGACAACATCTTCAGATTACATGGTATCCCTAAATCTATTGTAAGTGATCGAGATCCCGTTTTTATCTCTCATTTTTGGAAAGAGCTTTTTCGGTTACAACAGACTCAACTCAACACTAGCACTGCCTATCATCCGCAAACGGATGGCCAAACAGAGATAGTCAACCAGTGCCTAGAGGGGTACCTTCGCAGATTCACTGAGGACAAACCCAAAGCTTGGAGCAGATGGCTCTCTCTTGCTGAATATTGGTATAATACCAATGAGCACATCTCAACCAAAACAACACCATTTGAAGCTGTCTACGGCTACCAGCCTCCTCGTCTACTTCAATACACCCCGGGAACAACTAAGGTTCAGGCTGTTGAAGATGTGTTGAAGGACAGGGAAGCCACTCTCAAAATCTTGAAGGACAACCTACACGAAGCACAGGAAAGGATGAAAAAATTTGCAGATTTAAATCAGACGGAGAGGGAATTTAACAATGGCGATTGGGTTTATCTACGGTTAAAACCATACCGTCAGCTCTCAGCTGCTGCCCGGAGGAACCAGAAACTTGCTCCCCGTTACTATAGACCCTTCGTGATTGAAGAAAAAGTTGGAAAGGTTGCCTATCGCTTGAGACTACCACCAGAATCAAAGATCCACCCGATTTTCCATGTTTCTTCCCTGAAGAAAAAACTGGGCTCCTCTTCTACCCTGCAGCCGAAGCTCCCACCAGTCAACGTGGATGGATCTCTCTTCCCAGAACCAGAAAGGATATTAAATCGTAGACTTAAAAGACAAGGACAGCGAGCCACCACAGAAATTTTGGTGAAATGGTCTGGTATGAGCAACGAGGAGGCGACCTGGGAGAACATTAGTGATTTCTGCAACAAATTTGGGGCCCTTGGGGACAAGGTCCTTGAAGAGGGGGAGTCTGTCATGTTACCGTCCATTTAATCCAAGTAATTGTCATCACGTGTTCCTGTCAGTAGTCCAATCTCATGTTACTTTTTAGTTTTCTTTTGACCAAGTCTTTAGCTTAAGTTGTTATTTTATTTAATGGGATTAGTGGTGTCCAGTTAGTGGGTAAACATGGTTGTAGTGGGTCCATATTTATTTGTTGGTTAGTTATTATTTGAGTTGTATTTAATGTCCTTCTATTTGATCAATGAAGTATCAGAATTCCATTTGGCTTTATCGTATTCTGGAGGCACTGGTCCCTTGAAGTACCAGATTCTTTTTACTTATATTTGAGAGTTCCTGACANGGCTATCCTTAGTTGGCACACGCCTTGTTCCCTCCAAAAAATACAGCCCTCCTCTTTCTCTACCAGTGCCAATCGTCATCTTCGTTCGATTGTCCTGAAATACGCAAGTAGTAGGTGAGAAGATGACAGAGCAATCAAGATGCTTTGTAATTTTACTAATAGATAAGAGGTTAGTGGAAAATGTAGGTGCAAGTAAGACAGATGAGAGAGAGAAAGTAGGTGAAAACGAGACACTTCCTGCCCCAGTAATTTTGACAGGAGTCCCGTTAGCCACTTGAACAGACTGAACAGTCGAAGTTGTCAAGGAATCAAATGTAGTGGGATTACAGGTAAAATGATCGGTAGCTCCAGAATCTATAACCCAAAAATCAGATGTAGTAGAAGTAGATTGCAACCCAAAAGTACCTTCCCCAAGAGGTGAACGAGCGACATGGGAAACAGTAGATGTAGATGTAGGTGTAGGTGCATGAGTGGACGCAACGGATGAATGCGGTGCTTGAGAATATCTTCCACCCTTCCTCTCTGCCCTCTTTGCTAAATACCAATCCGGATAGCCATTTTTCTTGAAACACTTGTCAGCAGTATGTCCTTTAACGTGACAGAATGAGCAAGTGTCATTAGACTGAATAGGAGCTCGAGATCGAGGATTGAACCCTTTTGCCACTAATGCAGACGTCTCAGAATGGCCTTCGGTCCCCATGGTGAGTTGTCTCTGTTCCTCACGGCGAACAATTGAGAACACCTCTTCCAAGCTTGGAAGGGGTGTAGTAGCTAAAATACGACTACGCACTTGATCCAAACCATGATCTAGCCCCGCCAGGAACATATAAATCCTGTCTTCAGCACACCTTTCTTTTAACGCATTAACATCAACTGCACACTTCATAGGGTTGGGTCTACGATAGTCAAGTTCCAAGAAAATAGAGTTCATTTCAGTGTAGTACGTGACAAGAGGCCGCCCCTCTTGCCGCAACTGAAAAGATTTTTTCATTAGTTCATAAACTTGTGACGAATCAGAGACATCAAGATAACTTCTCTTAACCGCATCCCACACATCTTTGGATGTGTCAAACTGAACAAAGTGAATCATAAGAGCATCTGTCATAGAATTGATTAGCCAAGACTTAACGATAGCATCATCTGCCATCCATTCACCATAGCTACTATCATTTTCTTTCGGTGCAGTTAGTTCACCAAAAACATGGGTTCTTTTCTTCCGACCAGTAATGTACATCTCCAATAATTTTGACCACACACGATAGTTAGTGCCATCTAACTTAACGTGAATTAGAGGTGATGTCTCGTGAATTAGCGATGTAGCAACTTTGTTATCAGCCATAATTTCGAGAATAGAATGCTGAAAGAAGATTGAAGACCACGGAAACCACCAAATGCAGACAATTCAAAAAACCAATCTTCAACAACCCAGAAAAAAAAACTTCACAATAGACCCAATTCCACCACACACCAAGTAGAGAAGGTAGATAGGATATCTGACCCGTGAAAAATCAGCATTTAGAACCGGCCATTATCAGTGGAGAAGCCCTATGCTCCGAATGCTAGAAGTCTAGGCTGCAGGGGACGCGGGTAGGGACCGGGCGATGCAGAGAGGAGACGCAGAGAGGAGAAATGGGTGTTGCAGAGCTGAACGAAGCTCCAGTGAAGGGCGACGCAGAGAGGAGGACGTCGCCTAGGGTTGGGCGAACAGCACACAGGGAGAACGACGTCGCCTAGGGTTCGGCGACGCAGAGAAGAGACGTCGCCTAGGGTTCGGCGACGCAGAGAAGAGACGTCGAGCTGTTCGCCGGCGCTGGAGAGGCCGTCGCTCGGAGCAGGGACCACGATCGGTGCCGGGTTCAGGTTTAACACTCCGGCTCTGATACCATGTCGCGTTTAGGAGGATAAAAATATATCTCATTCATCTTACATGACAAAGTATATACACCAAGAAATGATATTTACATCTTAGTCCCTAATAATTACAAAATGCTACAAGTTGGTAACTAAGAATAATAGCATATGTATTTCAACTTTCTTCTTCTTCTTCGAATCATCTTCACAAATGGCACATCACTGCACTTTTAGGGATTTTTTGTGCCTACTCGCGACGGTGCTACAAGCATCAACGTACCGCCCTGGTGGTTGTGGTGTAGTGGATTTGTGGAGATCGTGGCGGTTTGGTGGATTTGTCGTCGTGGTGGGTGGATTTGTGGAGGTCTGGTGGTTGGTTTGCTGTGGATTGTGGAGGTCGTGGCGGCGACAACGATTTGGGTATTTTTTGTGAGGGTGGTGGATGTGGTTGTGGTGTGGTGGATGTGGATATGGAAGAGGTGGTAGTTGTAATTTTTTGTACAGGTGATGGTGTTTGGGTGGCCATAATGATGATGGTTGTGGCGGCTGAGGTGGTGTTGGTGTGGTTGTGGCTGTAGCGTGATAATTTTGGATCAAAATTTTTAATAGTGTTTGGGTGGTGGAAGCTCTGATATTGCCTGTAGTAGTAATATAGTGGTGATGTTGACAATACTGGTGATGGGGCGATGGTTTGAGGTTTTGACGATGGTACGGTGATTGTGAGTGGGTGTGTGTGTGTAACCAATTATTTGTTTGATTATGACCAATAATTAATATGTGACCTAAAAATGTAATCGGGACTCAAAATTTATTAAGTTGTCGAGAAATAATTTGTGAACAATTAATTTGATAAGTTGTGAATTATAAAAATTGTAATTTGTGATCGATAAATAAACTGTGACATATAAAATGTTTGATTTGTGATCGATAAATAATTTGCGAGCTATAAAATTTTTAATTTGATGTCGAGAAACAATTTGTGACTAATTAATTCAATAATTTGTGACAAAATTGTACAGATTTGTGACATTAATATATTTAATTAATAAAATATATTTTTAACTTATTATTTCATAAATAAAACTTAATTAATATCTGATTTTTGAAGTTTTAAACTTTAATAGAGCATGCTTTATCTCTTAGGTATGAATTTTTCCTTAAGTCAATGCTTATCTTCTTTTCAAATCTTCCCATTTAAAACTTTGCCTCACCTTGTCCTATTTCCTCAATGAATTAAAGTACGTGTACACACAAAGTGTACACCTTGATTGACACACCTATATGTCAAAAATCTAGTAGTTGATTGAAAAAAAGTGTTTGTCATGATCAATGTGCTAAAATTTGTCAACTTACATGGGTGTAAATTAATGTGTCAACCCTTATGTTTGACTGTCTACCAGCTTGGCTGGTCGATGCTCGTCGATCAGCCAGACGTCGACCAAAGCATCGACCAGCCAAGATGTCGATCAGCACTTTGGCTGGTCCATCGTCAATCGATCGCAAGTTTGTCGCTCACAGACTGACCCTGTCGAAGGCCTCTCCCGAGTAAGATTTTTGAAAGAAATGACGGTAGTGACGCTATCTCTGATGAGTAAGATTTTTGAAACAAATTCGTTTAGCCAAGATAATTGCTTCTTTGGTTGTTCTGGTGACTTTTATTGTTTTCACCTGTTTCAAAGTTTGTTAAAGTGGTCATCTCTCAATGTTTCTACATTTAAAAGTTTAGTGCCCATCATTTAGAAGATGAATTCTATATGTTTTTGAATCAGTAATTGATGGAAGGATTTTCAATTCATGGGTTTTTAATGGTTTTTTTTTGTTACATTTTTGACGATGAAAGATAATATAGGAATTCTCATCAGGTGAGATTTAAGTATACGAATAGAGATATAGCATACTGACTGCTATTTGTTCCGTTCACATCATGCTTAAGATTTTGATTCTTCTATATGGTTTGATGATTA